TACCTGCATTTTATCAGTTTGTTCTTTGGTATTAAGCAAGTCAACAACTATTTTTCTTTTGAAAAATACTAATTCTACATTCTACTAGCACAGAAAGATAGGAAGAGGAGAAAATACATAAATAGCACTAATTTATGAGTATATGCAAGCGAATGTAATGAACAGTACTATGGCAAAACTAAAAGCATTTTATGAAAGACTCTAGATACTGCTTATAAAAAGCCCATTATTCTTCCAGCAAATTAATACTCTATCTCTAACAATATCAGCAAATGAACTGTTTTAGTTAAATTAATATTCATGTTAACTGCATGCAATATCAACTAATTAAGTAGTCCTAAGTTACAATATTAAAAGCATATGTAAACAGAGTCTGTGATCAATTTTAAGACTAGCCAAGTAAATCATACGGGATTTGTTGTATGAACATGATAGGGTCTTCAAATCAACAGATTTTGTGTTCAGTCAGAAAAAAATTCCCAAAAAAATATTTATGTAATGCGGGTACATTCTAAATATAAACCAAAACAGCTGTTTACTAGGGCTGATGAGTTTAAATTTAAAGACAAAACAGTTTGTAATGAACACAATCTCTTCTTCCCTTTACCTACCCATTCTTTGCATCCAAAATAATAATCTCAGCACATCTTAGAATTCAGTAACCATCTTTTACAATTTTTTTAAAAGAAATATCCTCTCCCTCACTTAATAAATCTTCACAGAAATGTTAAGGCTGCTTCTGCTTCTTCATTTATGCAACATCATCAAACTTACATTAAAAAAAAAAAAATCCTTAATGGTGATAACAAGAAAAGCTAAAGACCATAACATAATTTCTTTGGGCTCTGAAATAACAGTAGTATTTGTTTCTTAATAATCTCATTATTATCTTTTTTTTCCTAAGACATTTATCATGACAGTACTGGGGCATCTTACAAAAGATATTCTCCTGTTTCTTAAATTTAATCATATTTGGGATCTAAATTAATAATAGGTGGTTGAAAATATGCCAGGGAAAAAGGAAAGCCAGAAGCTTTTCTCTTAAGAGCTCACAGCAGAAGTGGAGGAAGGGGCAGTGTACGTAGCCTATAACATGGTATGCACTGCTCATTCCTTATTCTGAAAATGCAAATGGAACATCAATACTAAGAACATTGAAGTTGCAAGTCAAACACTCCAAAGGCACTGCCAGAATTTAGACTTGCTGCTAGAAGCATAGTTCCATTACCCAGTATGTATCCATCATGATCTAGGAATACAGAAGCAAAGAGATTGCAAATACTAAGAGTGGATGCTGAGGAAGACACAGAGGTAGGTTACATACAGTGAGCCTTTTCTGGGGACACTGAGTTTAGTCCCACATTCTGCTTCAAAGTTTGGAGGGTGCTTGAATACACTGAACAGACTCATCCCTGCTTTCATCGGCTGTCTCACAATTATCTCTCTGATCACAGACCTTTGTCCTAGTTCTTCCTTAACCCTGACTGCTTAACCCAAACACTTTTGAACTTGTCAGTCACAGGCTTCACTTCTTTCACATCAGCCATGCCCAGCCCAACCTCCTTTTCCAAGTCTCCTTTTCCAGTCAGGTTCTAGTTCTCACTTCCCCAGTGCAGCCTTCATATATGTTTTCCTCTCTACCGCATGCTTAATCTTCCCTTTCAGAAGATAAAATTTATCCCCCATATTTTCATCCTCACAGCTATAAGATGTTGTCATCGTGGAGGGTACCAAAAGAATGGGAGCACCTGTTACTGGATTTTCCTGTTCAGCCCAATTGGGTAAATTTCAGTTAGAACAGCAAAAGATATCATCACAGCATGCACACCTCACACCACTAAGCATCACATCTCCAAAGAACAGCAGCACTAGATCTTTTTGGAGAAAAGGCTACATGAGTTTTATATAGGCAAAATAAAGATCTGATCCTTTTTTGGGTTTAGAACTGATTGAAACACTTTAGATCAAGTTCTGTTAGAGAGAAGTTAGCTTCAAGCAGGAAGACCCTGTGAAAAACTAAGCCAAAATATCTACTTTTGGCCAAATTGTGCGACAGTATGACAGGTCTAATTGTGTTAGGGAAAATGAATAGGTCAGGCAACTACTTTAAGTCCCTAATTGTCCTTAATTCTGTGATAACAACTATTGGGCAACCCTGACAACAGGTTGGCCTATTTACAATTCACAGTGTGCTCATCAGGGTTGTCCTCCATTAAATGCACACCCTACTAAGGACTACTCAAATGCAATGGAAGGATAGAACTGAATTTCAAGTTTGCATGAAATGTGAGTTGTTGTTCCCTATGCAGACAGCACTGACCAATTCCAACACAAATGCAAGCTTAGGCTGCAGACACTATTTTATCAGTATTATTAGGTTATTACAGCAAGATCACTGCATTCCACCTACCCCCTACTACCCAATGCTTTTGTCATAGTCCATCAGCAATGAATCTAAATAGATGGGTGCACATAGCTTCTTAAAAAAAAAAACAAAAAAATAAAAAAACAACCAAACACCAAAAAAAAAAACCCACCAACCACAACAAAATGAAGGAAATCTGTCTTTAAAGTAGGGATTTCAAGCACACAAAGTGTATTTTCACTGCAAGAGTCTCAGTAAGAAGAAAATCAAACAACAAAACTCATGTTGCTGAGGGGAAAAAAAAAAAAAAAACAAAAAAAAAAAAAAAACAAAAAACAACCCACGTTCCCCGTGCTATTCATTTTAAACCTTTGCCAAGCTGAAGTTACACTTCACCAGACAGCTGCAGTTATATCAGAAGTACCAATTTATTATTGTAGGATAATTTTAAACACTAGTCTAGATAAAGTAATTTTACAGAGAATAAATTAGTTTTGGAGAATGGGGGCAAAAAGTAAGTAAAATAGATTTTACCAGACTAGAAGGTTTTTTTCTTGTGAAATTACATCCCTGCTATCTTATTTGTGAGTGAACTCTAAACATCTCAGAAGAACTTGAAGAATTTCGGGTTGCTGTACTTGAAAATAGCCAGAATCTGTATTCAACTTTCTACCATTTCTTGTCTCTGCAACAAGCTTTAGGATAAAAAAATTAACTGATCGAAGGTACATTGAGGATCTTGAATCATTCATGTATGATAGGCAAGTACTGCAGTAGTTAAAATTATATTGTTTAAAATTATAACCTTGTTTTATATTTCTAGGTTTGCAGTTTTATGAAGTGTAAAATTGCATGCATTAACCTTCTGCCATGTCTACCAGACTTCTGAAAAAGTACTCATGCTTATGCAATCTATTTCTAGTAAAGGGGGAAAAAAAAGGGGGGGGGGCAAAAAAAACAACCATGCAAAAAAACCAAGCAAGCATGCCTACTTCCCAGTAGCCAAATAAACCTCAGATGAATTACTAAAAGCTTTATGTGCATATATTAAAAAATATTAATCTGGAACACACATCCCACCCACATTCACGAGCCGACTGAATGCACAAGATGTAATAAACAACAAAATACTGGCTTTAGTGAAATCAATGTAAAAGAGCTGTAGCCACATCTAATGGCTCTTAAACAGATCAGATTTAGTATTTTCCAGGAACTGTTCCATGGCTGACTAAGCTTGTTGATGTGTATATTATTTAGTACAAACAGACCAAATTCTTTCTATCAATGTTAAGTGCCACTGTGCTACAAGAGATCTTCTGGGTCATCAAGGGCAATCCTCTGTTGACAAGAGACAACATAAGCCAACCAAACTCCATCATAAAAAAAGCTTATTTTGTGTTAAGTCTTCATGTGTTAACTGTGAAATATGATTGCTCGAATTTTGAAGAACCCTCCTCTAACTTCACATGTAAGTTTGTGGACCATTTATCTCCATATATTTCTGTTCCAACACAGGCCTATACCTTGAACAGTCCCTTTTTCTCCAGCATTGTCTCTCCCCCTATTCAGCTTACCACTATCTCAACCTACGTCCACATGGCCAGTCACTCACTATTCATAAGCATACACAAATACACATTCAGTGTTTTCTCATGAAGTAGCTTCTCCAGGCCCCTCACCATCTTAAGTAACCCTTCTCTACAACTTCTGTCACTGACTTCATTTTTTACTTGAAGAAGGAATTACTCAGGACTGAAAATGCTATTGCACACTAGATTTCATCAATGCTTTTTAAAATGGCATTAGTATCCTCCCTACTTGAAATACAATTCCTGGTGAACCACATAATATTTGCTTTTGCTGTAGTTGCAGCACTGCCTCTTCCATGTCCCACTGTTGTCAACCATTAGCCTTATGAGGAATTAAACAAGAAAGCATTAACATCAAAGATGTAGAAGAGAACAGGAGGATTTTGCAAAAGTCTATCAAATCACACTGAAGGAAAATTGTAGTTCCTGCCACATTGACTTTGCATGTGATATTCCAGGACTGGGACCAAACATATGCAGTTTAATAAAAATGGAAGTCACAGCCTGCAAGAAAAGACATTTGCCTAACTTCATATAAAAAAAACCCACCAAACAAAAACTACACCAAAAGAAGTCTGAACTGGCTAAATTCCCCAGTACATGCATACAGTTTACATGTTCTCAGTATAAGTTATCTTTCTCTGGACATGGAAAGCATTGGAATGTCATGCAAGTTTTAGAACCCAGTCACAACAACCTAACAGGATTAAGTAAAATAAAATAAATTAAAAAAAAAAAAAAAAAAAAAAAAAAAAAAAGAAAAAAAAGAAAAAAAAACTATAACCATACTTTAATGCACAAATTACTTATTGTCGGTTTTAGTTGACAAATATCTACTTCATAGCAAAACAACATCACAGGAACAGCTGGATGGCAGTTTTAAGCTCAAATGAACCAGCATCACAGGCTGACAAGTCATCTCTCTGATTGCTTTTGAATGGCAGCACATGCAGATTTATTCTCTGCCGTAAATTAGAACAATTATTTCTCTCTAGTTCACTTTTTATTTCAGACAGTGAGCCCCCGCACATATTTTTAAAGGATATCTTCCCTTTCCTTGATGATAAGTTCATTCTGTTCCTCTAGCTGTCTGATCTTCTTCTCGAATGACTCCTGTTCAGCTTTCAGCCGTTCTTCTGTCACCTCTTTTTCTTCACTTACCCTGAAAAGAATATGAGAAAAATAATATATATGCCCATAACCACAGTGCCTGACTTACAACTCCTCCGCTTCCCAGGTAAATGGATATCACCCTCTCCACCTTTAAACAGGTGAATTCCACATAATGTTTATTTTATTGTATTACATCGGAAGATGCATATAAGTTTATGCAATAAATTATTTTTTCAAAGACACTGGTCTCACTACAGTACATGCACATCAATGGGCTGCATGGAACAGCAAAGTAAGGACCTAAACCCACAATTAGATTTGTGCACTTTGATTCCCTGCAGTCATAATGAAGACACACTGGGATCTTAGCAAACAGGGCATGTAGGCAGGCAATCCAAATGGGAGAGCTTAGCTACCAAGACAGGAAGGAAACTTCTGTTTCTTAATCTGTAAACTAATTCTTTCACATTTACTGGTCAAATATAAGTACAGGAAAAGAATCATTTTTCTTTTCAGCTTTCTACAAAAGAAACAGTTTGTCCTCTTCTGGGGATTTTAAAACACCAAGCTGCAAGAGTAAATTTTCCCTTCTCTTGCGGCCATGGCACCCTGTATCTTGCTGCTCAGTGTAAATAATTGGATCAAGATTAAAAGATGACAATGTGAGAAAGGTTTACAATGATCATTTATTCTGCACCTCAAGAGCAGGCTGTAAAAACAATTATTCTGGTATCACGTAGGCAAGACGACCGTTATGCACAAATGATCCTGTAACTATGCTAAAAAACATGGCTTAGGAATAATGGTTCTATAAAACCTCTACAAAAATATTAAGTAATGAGCTTAGACTAATAAATATTATTGCTCTGCACTTAGGCAATTTCTGTTGCTGAAGGCTCTTAAAGTTCAGTCTTTTATGATGATGAAACAGCTGCCACAACACAGGTGACAGGAGACCAAACCAGTACAACTAGCAAACTTCAACTTTAACTTCCTCTAAGTGGAACATGCTATAGGAAGAGGAAAGGAGGGACACTATAATACATACCTATATAACACATATATACTAAGCCTTCCACTTGCTCATCAGGCTCATTAACATTCTTAACAGAGAACTAGTCATCTGTTCGACATTCCCTTAGGAAGTCACAGATTTGTTTCAGTATTCCAGCAGAAAAGCCATAAATACCAAAATTGGGTCACACCTCTAGGGGTGAACCATAGACAGGCAGTATACCCCAACTCTAAGATGAACCCACAGCCCTTCCCACAACAGCTCAAGCAGACTGCATGAAGTTGGAAGTAATTAGTAATACCGAAACTCACCTTTTCTCAACAACCCTGGACACGGAAAAGTAACACAGAGCATATAATCAAATTCTGTAAATTAGGGCAATCTGAAAGCTTGGAACAAACTATTAATTGGAAAGTTTCTGGATCAAAAAAAAAAAAAAAAAAAAAAGGCATGGATTTAGTATAAAAACATTACATTGTTCATGTGTCCATGGTCTCATTTACAATCCTGCGCCTTGCAGAATTCACCAACTCATTCTCAGGCCCCTTTCCCTCCAGTCAAAGGTTGTCAAAAGTGGTGTGCACACATCAGAAAAACAGCTGTATTAACTCTTGTTCCACCCTAGCACTACCTATTCCTTAGTTAAGCAGGCAACAAATGTCTGAAGACTATCTACCATCCATCCTTGCTCCCTGATGCAGTTACAACAACACTACACATGCCACGGGCTGCAGACTCAGGCTTTTGCACCTAACTACAACCAGTTTGTTTTCTCTGAATCTAGAGCAATCAGATAAGTGACTACAGCATATATGACTTTCCCTCATGTAATCAGTGAAAGATGAAAGAATGTTTTCTGTTTCTTAGGGTAAAAAAAAAAAAAAAAAAAAAGAAAAAAAAACCAAAAATGTAGAGAACAGAATAAAACACATCAATTGGAAAAGACAATGAAGACAGCAATGACCATGTAGATGAGACAGGAAGGAAACAAGAACAGTGAAAAATAAAATCAGAAGGGAAAGGAAGAACAAGTCTCATCTCCAGGACTCTATATAAGGAGGAAGCTTGCTTCCTAACTGCTGGACTGATGCTGCACTATAAAAAGGGACAACTGAAACACTGAGCACCCAAGAATAGTAAAATCCAACAACAGTATAAGAAAGTCACAGAATGGTTTGAGTGTGAAGGGACCTTGAAGCTCATGTAGTACTAATCCGCCCGCCGTGGGCAGCGACACCTTCCACTAGACCAGGTTGCCCAAAGCCTCATCTAGCCTGGCCTAAAGTAAGGTAAGAAAGAATAGAGCACTAGAGAAATTAGACTAAACCTAGCAGATTTTACCCATCTCTAGATTCTCCAATTTGTGACTTATATCAGCCGGCATCACATGCACGTGCTGTGTTTGTATTTAACACAGATCACAGCAAGCTGTCATACTCCCAGACACGTGAATATATTGTGCCACATATCTTATGCAGTAAATGACTGAGAACAGTAAGTGATCTTAGAAGAAATGTGGTAGTATGTGTTTATGTATCACAAAGCAGGAGACAGCCCATAAAGGGCAGGCAAGATAGAGAAGACAGTTACTCACAGGAGGTGGCAAAAGGAAGTTAGAGAAAAGGAATACAAGAATGTCATCAGATTATGCTGGATTTATGTCACATCGTATACATAGCTCAGTGAGATTTTTCTATATATACTTATTTCTCTGCCTTCTGGCAGAAAAAGAATAGACAATTTTTAGCAGAATTAGGGAAGACTTCACTGACGCCAAACAGAAACATTACAAGGCTCCTTAACAGAATTTTTATCTGCTTTTCATCTGCCCGTGGTTAGAAAAGTGCAGTGAAAGAATAAAGACACTACAAGTACAAAGGGCACAACTACTCCACTGGGCAACATGCTGGTGTCCCAACTCCAGTATCATCGTTTGCAGGAACAAATAGAGGACCAATAGCTGAGAGCAAAGATGACAAATCAGTAGAACTATTCCAGCTGTTTGGAATTATTCCAGGACCATTTTCTTACACGCAGTTTACATCCACCTATCTGATGTCACAGAATACACACCAGCTTTGTTCAAGATTTTTCTAAATTCAACACTTCAAAGCCTATGTAATTCTAAACATCTCCATAAAAGATTTTATTTTTATTTCACAGAAAAAAACCTACTCTGTAGGAAATAAAAATTCATAATGGAGATATATTGACAAAAAAATCCTCCTAGGACATCAGCTTTAGGTTTCAAATTAATTCCTAATTCCCCAGTTCCAACTGTTATGGTGTGCTCCCAAGTCCACTTCTGATACTATGGTGTGCTCCCAAGTCACTCCTGATACTAGCAGTTCTGTGTTATCTGAAGAAGGAATTGATCAACAAGTTTGCTGATGACACTGATTCATTCCACTGAGTAATGCAGGATTGATGCTCTCAAGGTGGAATTTTTGAAGCACTGCACAGGTCAACAGCGCTTTAACTTTTACTTGTCTATTGAGTAACTGGCATGCACAAGAAAGAGCCATAGCACATCAACACTACACTAGGGACAAAACTTAAAAGAACTCTTCCTGACTGAAGGCTCTTACAATCTTTAAAAAAGAAAAGAAGAGCTGAAAAGGCAAATTAAAAATAGTGTTTTCTATTTTTTAAAAGTGTTAGAAAAAAATTGAGCTTTTACAAAGAGAAATCTGAATGCATTAAGAACTGTAACTGAGCAAGTTAAGAGAGAAGACAAAATAAACAAAAAACAGAGACACAGACACTGGGAAGTTCACTGATCTGTCCTATACTTGTTTGGAACATTTAGTTTTTTAGGGAATACTCACCTGCTATTAGTCTGCCAACTAGCTAGCAAAGATGGAAATATTTTGGTGATCATTCTCTTAAATTCCAAGCAAAGAATGGCAACTGGAACAGGCAAGGCCACAGGGGAGGAAAAATGGATCAAGGACTAAGATAATGGAATCATGCAAAGCCCAGCACACACAGAAATCATGGAATGAAATTGGGTATTCCAAGGGAAAGATGCACTCCAGAAAGATGAAACAAGAAGTTTCATGCCGGAGTTGATCACAACATGCCTGTGGCAGAAGTGAGCACCAAGTGACTTTTAATACAAGCACTGCAGGAAGAAATAATGGCAGCATTTTTGTCTAAGGACACTGTTCACAAATCTGATATATTTTACCCAAGTATCATGGGCACTTTGTATAAATTAAAAAAATAAAATAACAAAACCCCTAACGATCCAAAGACATAATTGAAATTGCTACACAATGGATAAATTTTATGATATGCAACTTGCAAAATACAAAACTAGATCTCACAGCATGAATTTATAGCTACAAATGACTTTTTAAGCACAAAAGGTAAGTGTGATTGGTGATACAATAATCCAAGGCATGCTTTCCCTATCAACGAGAAGTAATTTCCAGACAAGCTTAGGGATATCTCATTTGCAGTCTCACTGCCTGACCAATTAAGAGAACTGCAGCACAATATTGCTCCTAAAGTAGCACAAACAAAGAAGAAAGAATAAAAGATCTTGACATTGAAGTTAAAGTCAGGTTAAATATGAGGTAGTGTAACCCAGGAGAGAAAGTAACCCAAGAGGCTACACACTGCAGATTTGTAATACGGGCTTCCACAGGCAAGTTGTCCTTCAAAGATCCTAACTGCTGAAAGAAAAACACTTAAACAGCAGATACACGCTACAATAGTTTTACTGTCCTCCTTTGTAATGGTTTCCAGTTCTGTAACCAAATTAACCTTCTGTTTTGATTCCCATTTTCACCTTTTGCAGGAAAATTTCAATTGCAGTTGGTCAATTTCATCTTCATATCAGGGTGAAAAGCAATGCCGGTAGAAAAGACTAGCATCCCAGGCTGCCAGCACCCTACAAAGAGTTTAGGAATCCAAGGACTTAGGAAGGAGGAAGCATTTTCTCAATAAGGGACAAAGAGCTGTCTGAAGGCTGTTTAACAAGCTGCAGGGGGTACAAGTCATTCTGGGCATGCCAGTGGTCTTTGCCAGAAAGACACTAATCTGATAGCGAAAACCACCTTGTATCTCATTTGAAAAGGGCAATCACTCCCTCCCTTGGGTGGATAAGGGTATTATGATACCTTTCTACCTAAATTGCTTTCAAAGATTTGTTTGCAAAGACAACAGGGAGCCAGCTTTCTCCGTGTTTATCTTATCTGAAGGAAGAAAGAATACAAAGTAGACAGGTACCAATTCTCACCACTAAAAACAAAAATTAAAATTTCATGAACCATTCTGCCTCACCTAGTCAATGCCTCTGTTCATTCAAAAGCAAATTGCCTATGTGAGCTGTACAGGCACATGTGAACTGTGCAGCAGGGAAGAAGTATTTATGATGTACATGTCATAGTCGGAGCTAGAAAATCACAGTACTATGGTTGTATATCAGTCAGGAGTGAAGTGAATGCTTGCAAGCACGCACACATTCACTCTCTCTGCAAAGGAAGTTATGACCCTCTCCATTCAGCCAAATGCCATGACAGAGAGCGTTCTCAAAATCTGCATACCACTTCAAATATTTCACTCCACAATACTTCGTACCCATTCCTGGTATGGTGTCTAGCAAGTCCTTAATGCTCAAGAGCCAACTGGCTGGGTCCTAGAGGACCTTGCACCGCTCCCTCATGGAAGAGGCTAATGTGTGCTGTCACTGGCGCAGAGTACAAGAGTAGGAATCTTTCAGTGTCTTCACCATGTCACTGCACATTTCATTACATAAGCTAATGACTGCTTCAGGAGTAGCCTGCAGTAATAAAAGCTCAGAGAAAGTATTTTTTTTGCCTCTTAAAATGACTCTGCTCATAGGAAGAGCTAAAATTTTGTCTTACCGTGCCTGCCACTTTCGCCACCGCATCAGTAGCACCTTGCTGAAAACATGAAGGTGCCATGCCAGTTGGTTTTGAAAGTAATGGCTGATCACACTAGAGAATTTCCCATTTACCACAAAGCACTTTAGCGCTTATGGGCCTGACCTGTTGTACTCAGAAATTCACCTACAAAAACAATTCGAAAAGAATCTGCTGACACAATGAAAACAAAGTTCAAATTTTCAACATTAAAGTATTTTACAGTTTGGATCCAGTTTGTCTCTCTTTTCACCTAAAGACAGAAGATAAACTGGATACAGAATCATAGAATACTTTGGGTTGGAAGGAACTGTGACAGGTCATCTAGTCCAAACCCCTGCTATGAGCAGGGACACCTTCAACTAGGTCAGGTTGCCCAGAACCGCATCCAGCCTGGCCTTGAGTGCCTCCACAGATGGTACATCCACCACCTCTCTGGGCAACCTGTGCCAGGATTTTACCACCCTCTTTGTAAAAAATCCCTTCCTCACATACAGCCTGAATCTCCGCTCTGTTAGTTTAAAACCACCACCCCTCCTCCTGTTCAAAGAAAGGCAAAATAATGGTTAGATTTACAGGTGGCAGCACAGAGCAAAAACTAATATTATTTAGCCTAGAAAGGAGGATTAGAAAGGATCAGCAGAGTTCATTCTTTCAACCCTGTCTCAAAATTGAATTTCATAAAGTCCCTAACAGCTAATGTTGATGTCAGCCACCAGAATCCCCAGCGGCAGAGCATTACAGACCAGTAACTGATATTTTCAAGGGAAAGGTTAATAATACAGCCAGCATTAGAATTTACTCACATCAAGACAAAATCTTACACAGCAGCATATTAGCTAATGCGCAGGCACACGCCCTCCCAATGTTCAAAAGTATATTGGGAATGAGAGTTGGAGGAAGAGAAGAAAGAGGAAGAGAAAGTATGTTAGGTCTCCTTCAGCAGTCACAGAAGCCAGTGGAGAGACCAGTATCCTAAGCTGCTCAAGCAAGGGGTTAATTGTATTTTGCTGCTGGTTTCCACAGAATTTTACAGCTGCTTTCATACAGACAGTTACTGACCAATCTATTTCTGTCCACCATCCTGCAACAAACATGCAGGAATTAGCCAGAACTACCATCATTTTCATTCATAAAAGTAACAACCTAGGGAAGAGTGAAGTACAGCTCTGGTCAAGAGAGGTCTTTATTATACCAAGTATTTACTGCAGGACAGTCTTCCTGGAAAACTTTCAGCATCCTGCTGGTTCTTTTTCTTCTCTGAAATAGCAAAGAATGTTCTACTGCATGTAAAAACCCTCCATCACTGTACAAACTAGGGATGAAAATTATGGAGAGTTTTAAAAAAGTGACGAGGTGAGCGGAATTAAAGTTCAACTTCCCTATTACTCTGCAAAGGACTTTTAATAACATCCAATAAAAATAAGATTAGGTTTAAAAATAAAAGAGAACTAAGTATAAAATAATAGTGTTCCACTAATTTTACTTTTCAAAATTAATGTTGCTGCACATTCTATTTTTCTTCGAAGAAATGTCAGGCAGAAATATCAAACTGTCCTCAGGGAAAAATCACAGCATCTGAGATTTAAGAAGAATCCCATGCTCAAATGAGTTAGTGTACTACTATTCACCAGGGAGCAGTGTATTATAAGGAACAATGTAATAAAAGGCTTTTTTTAATATTAGAATATACCTCTATATATCAACAGTGGCAACAGTGTCCGAATAGCTCCAACATCTGACAATTTGTTACCAGCCTTTCTAGCAATCTACTCTTTATGACAGCCTTAACTAGACATTTTCTAACACATGAGGTAGGATAAAATAGCGTTGCAAGCATGAAGAACTTCAGAAATTACTAAAATACTGTATAGCAAGAAATCCTATATTGGTAAAAATTATTAGCAGGCAAAATGGTCCACTGGATGAGGATAATCAGAGAGAAAATATTCTTAGCTGCACCCAAGACTTATTGCATGACCTTGAGCAAGTAACTTAATTTCACTGCCCAAATTTTCCAATATAAAAAGGACAGTAATGCTTGCCAATTATTGCAGACATATGAAATCTATGGCAAAATGCATTTCATTAATACCTGAGAACCTACATTTTGTTCTAGAAAAACTGTGCCTCCTAAGTTTTTGAAATTCTTTTTAAATTCTTAGCATGGACACTAACTTTCAGCACAAAGGACCCAAGATCATCTCATCAGACTTTCCCCCCTGATGTGCAAGGGCCTGCTAAAGTCCCATGTGCTCCTTCTCAGTTTTATGGCCCCTATGTAAAAAGCAGATTTCCACAGATTCTGAAGTGCTAGGGACACAGAGGGGGAGGCAAAACCTCCTCTCTCAAATTCAATCTATTTTCACATCACTTAGCATATCCAGTGCAACTAGCACTGGAATGAAACATTGAAAAAAGTGTTTGCTAAAGCTGAGAAACTCACACTATTTCAGCCTCTCCTCTCACAGTATAGGGAGAACTTTAATGAATTAATCAAAGCAAAAGAAAATTTGTCTAGATAAATTAAAATTGTACTGCACTCTTGCTCAGCATGTGCAAACAGTTCAACTACTGATTAACATGTTTCAGCCACAAGATCACCAATCCACCTTTAACATGGCATGTCATGTAAGAGGTTACCCTGACAAATAAGCACTACAAATTCTCATATGAACAAAGCCTGTCATTTCCAAAAGACAATACGTGTTTATTTAAAGCACATGACACAGCAGCAAACAAAACCCTAGCCCTGTGACATGTTTCTTATGGATGAACTACTGCAGGTCATAAAACTCTGGCTTTTGTATTCAGTGTGTTTAGAGGGGGGGTTGGGTCAAGAAGCAAGGAAAAACGGATCATGCTGCTTCATTGCTCATATCTCTTCCAGCAAGAAAAATTACCTTATGCAAATATTCAGTTCCATAAAGCAGTTCTATATTGCTTGATGTTAATTAGAGGAATGACTCTCCTTAAACACAATGCATTTTCAGGTGATGCTTATTCTTACCTAGCAAGTTCTTTAATTAAGTTTGCAATGCGTCTCTTGTCCTCAGGACACAAATCCTTTAAAGAAGCACTCTTCATTCCTCCTTCATTAGTGACCTGAAAATTTAAAGTGACGTTTTAGAAAGTACTTTCTAAAGGAGAACAAATATTTCATAAGATATTAAAAGCATTTCAAGACCTAGTAACTAGAAGCAGGCAAATTTCAACTGGAAATAAAACATGATTTTTTTTTTTTAATGTAACTACAGTTCAGTGAAACAAATTACCAAATTGTGGAGAATTCTTTTAATAGACTTGTAATTCAAATGCAAGCTGCTAACTTTAGTATTAAACATTTGGCTAAAGTTTTAAGACATACAATATCCATTGGTTCATACTAGGTAAAGGGCAGTAAGTTCTCATGACTTGGAAATCTACAGCAGCAATATCCAAATCTAAGTTCACACTTTACTATATTAGGATCCTAAATAAAAAGTAAGAAGAAAAAAAACCCAACACCCACACATTCTGCCTTAGCATTTATGACCAAAACACAAAAAACCAGCAAAAACTGTATACAATATATTGTTCATAGATGGTATAAGTTCTTACTTTGAAAGATTTTTCTAATACACAAAAATTTCATGCTTTTCCACAAGCATTTTTCTTTTAATCACTTATTTGCTGCCTTCGTACTTAACTACTTTTCGAACCGGACCTTTAACAGACTCCAGAACTTCAGTTCTTTTAACGCATCTTTTATCGGTCTGGTATTTGTTATCAATGTCCACCAGAGGGCATAGTGCTGTTCGCGTTCGCAGCAGTCCCTCGGATTACTGAGGTTACTGACGTTACTTACTTCTGGTGCTTTCAAACATAAACAGTTCTAAATTGTTTTTCTTTATCAAAAACTTTTGTTATCGGTTACTCGGTTCTCTAGTGCTAGCGCAAACAAAAATCCCAAGATGAAAGCTACAGTAAAACTATTCTGCTGTCGAAAAGAGTTTAGGTATTTCCACTTAATCTGATTTACTTATTCTCAGTTTAGACTTTCACAAACCTTCAAACATTAAATCTCCCCGAGGGCATACTGTGCTTAACACGAGATCCAAGAATGCTAGAAATGCCTTGCAGTTCGGCCAAGTTAACACAATACCTCACAGAACCACCCTTGAGCATACAAAGCAAACACTGGGCTGCTCTCCCCTCATTAGCAGTAACGGCAGCTGATCTACATACATCAGGAAGGAAGTGCCCCCTTCCATTCTTAGCTAATTGCTTCTTCAACAATAGTTACAAACAATTAAAGAGCTATGTCGCTTTTAAAAAAAGTTATGATTTTAGACAGACTCATGTTACACACACCTGACTCTTCAGTATACCCTTATTTTAACTTCACTATATTTTCCACGGGAGTAAAATAAAACAAAATATTGGAATTTCATAAGGCAAATCACATTTCAGGGCTTTTCTTAAGGACATTTGATTTCAGAGTTTCCTTCCAAAACATAGGTTATTTACAGTCATACAAATAAAGAGAGAATGTCTTAACTGAATTTTTACTTCAACTAAACATAAGGTTGAAGTATTTGCATTTCCCATGCTAAAAATATCTGAACTTTTTTTTTTTTTGGCAGCCTGATGATGGAACTCCTTTAAGAAAAATTAAAAGTAACAGGACATTTTTCACTCATATAATAGGCACAAGCTTGATCACATTCGTGAAGGACATTTTAACAGAGGGTACTCAAGCTATTACTCAAACCTATGTACATATTGTCAGACAAACATTAGTGGGATGAAGAGGAAAACCTGAAAAGTTAGTCTGTGCTTTTTCGTATCACCCATAGGTACAGATAGACAGCACACCAAAATTCTCAAAGGCAGACTCATACCATAACACATGTCAAAATGAAGCTGTGGAATTATACACAGCAGCAGCTCCGCCATCAAAACAAGATGACAAATGATGTAGAGGCCAAGACTGTATGGTTGCCTCCTGCCACATTTCTGTCCTTTCTACACAGGTCAGGGTAGAACTCAGTTTCATAACTCACTATTTTCTAGATGAAACCTACTACATAAATGGAACATGCTCTCACTTTATAAACCATGCCTTGAAAGACCACAATTTAAATGAAAGCAGCAAACAACTTCTGCCAAACGGGAAGTAGGAAGATGCGAAATTTTGGTCAAGACCAGTATAGCAAACCACTGCTTCATTAAAATCACCAGAAAAGCTCCATAGGTAACGAGACCTTTTTGAAATCTTTTCCAAAATTCTAATTCACCATTCTGGTACTCAAGTCCATCTGAACGGAGAAAAGGTAAATCAGTTCTGCCAAGATTCATATTAAAGCAAAACTCAATCCATTGTCTTCAAAAGAGGATTCTGGTAAATCAGAATGCTAAGCTACCTACCAGTACAACAGCATAAAGTGTGTTAAAAGTAAAGCAATCAGCTCTCCCTAGACACACTCTCAACACCTTGAAGAAAATTAGTTTTGCGCTGATGAGAACTCCTTGCAAAAAAAAATTTGTGAAACCTTCTTCTTCCACAGTATGTAACATGTATTTGTTCTGTTTGTTTCAAGTAATTCAGAGCTTATCTTCAAAGTTAGAGTACAAAGTTTCCAGGAGGATTAGACAGAAAACAGAAAAAGCTTCGAACACATTTTATTGTCAAAAATATAAAAGCACATTGGAGTCTCCAATCAAGACTTCACATATTAGGTATTTTATTAAAAAAAAAACCAAAACAAAAAAAAAAAAGAAAAAAAACCACAAAAAACCCACACACAAACACGAAGACCATTTCTATCATTTCTATCCTAACAGCTCTCACAGAGAAAGAGGAGTAAAAATTCTCTAAACAATGCAATCAACACACCATACAAGAAAACAGATTTTAATGTGACATATGAAGGCATCTGACTTGTAGATACTTAGCAGGAAGAGATACATGTACATAAAGATTCTGCATAATGGGAGCTATTTGTAAAATTCCTCTATGTGCCACTGAACAGCATCATTTGCAAAGTGGATCTATATTCCAGCCTACTAAATGCAAGTACTGATAAACGGACGAATGGAAACAGCTAAGTCCAAGAAGGATCCTAAAAATGAGTATTAGTTGTAAGGATGTCATGCTGAAGGATGCGAAGGGCAATGACACTGTCAAATCAATGACAGCTGAGTGACCTGTCTTCACATCAGACTTCTGAATGCACATGTAAGGCACACAGCATTTACTCAGCACAAAGAAGACACAGACAAGGATATCTTAGCCCAGATAAAGAACAAGATTTAACTGCATGATAATACAACAGTGATTCAGAAGCAGTGAGAAGTTTTAGATCCTACCTGTAAGTGAACACATACCAAACCCTAGTGAGTAACAGACTTGCCCAAGATGACAATGCAAGGCAATTAACAGTACTCAAATGACTTACGTAGTCCCTGTACTATACAAACCAGGCATCTCTCAACAGATTTATGGATATCACAATACAAGAACAGCCTTCCAAAAGAAACCCCACTGGTCTGAAATTTCTAGTGCAGTAAACTGTAGGAAAAGCATCACCTTCTGTCACAGGAGTATACCAGACAATTCAAAGCAGAGCCAAAGATAGTATCATCTGATAAAGGTACTTGTACTGTTCAGAGGTATTTTTAACTTTCACTATCAAAAACAGAAAGTGATCTTTATACTCCTAACATAAGCAGACATACCAAAAAGGTCTCCAAAAAGAATTTTACAAGTCTTGTTTCTAAGCAATATGACTAGTGCAATGAAACTGAATAGACTGAAATCACCTCTTGTGTGTTTGGCCAGTAACATATAGATAGATACAGGGCTACTCAAAGCTACGCTCTCTGTACACATACACACATAGAGAGATGTCTTACATAGCCCCAGTTATATTCCACTTACATAAATTTGCACATTCAAGCTTCTGTTCTGCTTAGGTGGGCCAGCGATTTCAGTGGAAAAGTAATTTTTGCCAGCAAGCCACCATGTAAGTAGGCAAAAAGTGTAAGAGATTGCAAAAATAATAGCACTCTAAAACCTTCAAGTTTTCAACCTAAAGATTTTCTGCCATTTTTCGACTATGCACACTCTTAAGAGCAAGAAAAATTTGCTTTTACTGACCTGTTGCCCTGTCAGATCTCCTGTGCTTCTAACAGGATCCATGGGAATGAAAGCAGCAGCTGCAGGCACCTTTAGTTCAGTTTCACTTCTCTGATTTTTTGGCAAACACCTGGTACTTAAATTTCCTTTGGTAGACACTCCTGCAGATGAAAAAGAAGCAGAACACAGAGATTAAGAAGTCAAAAGGGACCCATCTCTTGCCTCTCACATCAGGACTTCCACAAAGGCATCCTTGCCTTTAAGCAGCTCTTTTTGAAAAGAAAGAGCATTTCAGGTGTATGTTGGCAAGTTTTCCCCAGCCTTTCACTCCACACAAGATTTCATTAAGATGAATATATGAGGACTGCACTGAAGTGCACTCAGCCACATGAACACTGAAGTAAATTTTGAAACACATATGTTGTCTCTGACAAACCCTCAGTGCTAAAAGCTGCATTTGTTTAAGCATAAACTTGAGCTTCTGCTTATAGGCTTTATCATCCCCATGCTCATACACAAGGGAAAATAACATTTCCGAAATTCTCTTCCATAGAAGTGAAAGAATATCTCCCAGAATGAATACATTTCCATCATTTAGTATCACTGCTTTCTTTCCAGGACTGAGTATAACAACATTGCCTGACATTGCCTGACTTGAACTATGCTAGCTACAAAACACAAGCAGAGATTTTTTTAACAGAAGTATTTGGCTAGTAATTTTTAAGAGTAAACATGCTACTCCAAACCTAGAGAGGTGAAATCCTTAAAATTTATAACTGCTACACATACTCGGGACACATACACAATTTTACTAGAGTTAATCATCCCAGATAATTTTCAGAACCTGGTGTCGCTATAAAGGCTGTGTTTCAAAACAATTAGAAAATTCTTAAGAGGGACTAATAACAGCCATCTTTTCCTCAGAGATGTGCATAAGCATGCACTCAGTAAATTAAGGTCAAGAGAACAAATGAAAAAAAAATTTCTTTACACAATAGATCTTCATTTTAACTGACGTCTTCAAAATCTACAAAAGATCCGAACATCTCCAGTGCTTCAACATTCTTTGAAGACCACATTAAAAATTCAGCTTACTTTATAGATTGGATAAAACTATGCTGTATCTGCAATAGAAACAACTCCCCTGAAACAGTTCGTCTTATACTGTATGTTTATCTGAACAGCAGAGTATAAATCCTCTACTATAGTCCTGTATGTCCCGTTACAACTTGTGATGACTCTAAGGTACTCTCTGTACTTCAAACACTTGGATACACAAACCAGGTACCTGAAAAGACATTGCAAAGTTTAGCATTCCCAGGAAAAACCTTTTGTTTACAACAATTAGAAGGTCATACCTGAAACAGATACCACTGGCTGTTTTCCATCAGAAACTGCATGTGGCTTCGTTAAAGGTAACAAACAAAGAGAGCAAGCTTGGCCCATTAAACAGAACTACAAAAGCAAGTATTTTGTCTTAATTTTAAAAGGGTGTTGGTAAGAAACCAAACTGGCATTGGGAGCACCTAAAGCAAATAAAACTTGCCTAAAAAAAACAAACAACACACAGATTGCTAAAACAAAAGCATTACTCTTTCTTCACTGTGCATTACCTTTTAGTCTGTAAAGGTAATTTTAGAGGTCACCTTCACAAAAGATCCCAGGGACCAGCCCCAGTTACAAGTGCAATTACTAAGATAATGAAAGTAAAAATACTTATATAAATTAAGCAGGTTATTATGATATGAGGAACCTCTTGATATGTAAGGAAGACAAATTCTGAAATAGTGTATATTCATACTGCATTGAAATAGATTTTGTACAATATATTCTAAGAAAGATAGATGAGGAAAATGCAAAAGGTTTCAAAGGAAGTTGGTCATTCTCATCTGACCATCACATGATGAGTAATAGATGAAAGGCCGAGGTCTGTTTGTCTTTACCAACTTTCAGGAGCTTTCAAATAACCCAGAGCTTTAACTGTTAAATTACTTAACTTTAAAAGACACCTAAAAAAAAATCACGAAAGACTGGGCACCATATTATTTGTGCTGTTAACAGTCACTGAATTTGAGTCCTCACCTCTTAGAAGTCACTAAAAGAAGGACTCCACACAATTCAGGGAAGGGTGTAAACTACAGCATTTTCCTTAAAGCAACAGTTTCATTTAGCTGAACATAAAGATTTTTATTCCCACATAAGTAACTAACATTACACTAAAGTGGAAAACAAAACGATAGGGCACAAAATTCTGCTCCACTGTTTCTACACACCTTTACTTTCCTCAGCCTTCTAAGGTTAGCCAGTTAACTCAATTACCTAATTCCTGTACTGTTTACAGTTAAATGTATTTAACATTTTGTATTTCTCTTAATGCAAGAAAGTCAAATTGTGTAAGTATTTCAATTAACCTAAACAAATACTCACCTTAACTAAAATCTAGTACAATCTCAAAATAGTACAATCTCAAAAAATTGATTTAATAAATTACCACATGGTGGAGAAAATTGGCAGCAGCCTATTTCAAACTGTGACAGCAACTTCAAACTCAATCAATACCTACTGCCTTGGCACAATCGAAAGGCTGATAACAGGCTCACTTGTGACCTTGTTGATCCCTTTATCACTTGTAAACAATTATCACTCATCAGTCTCACACCAGTTTCAGAGTATGTTCACTTAGTACCACTGGCAGCCATCTCTCTCTCTACAAATGCCAAAAGAACTTTAATATTCATCGTGCCATGAACTAGCTGAAGAAGCTGAATAAACTCGGAAAGTAAAGCACTGTGCTCCCTCTTTCCAAAAACACCAAGGTAAATCAAAAGTCCAAGTCTGGATCACAGCCCAGACCAAAGAGCTCCAAGAGCACAACTGCAACAGCAATCTCCAGGACACTGGGAAACTATCTTCAACTCATGCTATGACAGAAAACAACAAACTTCAGCACAAGTGATTGCATTCTCACCTGATGTATGGTTAATCAGTTTGTCAACATAAGGCTATAGGAAAACAGTCTAACCAACTGTATTGAGTTTGCATGCCAAGGTTTTGATAGCAAGGGAGCCATGGGGGTGGTTTCTGTGAGAAGCTGCTAGAAGCTTCCTCTGCGTCCAATGGAGCCAATGTCAGCCAGCTCCAAGACAGACCCGTTGCTTGCCAATGCCCAGCCCATCAGCAATGATGGTGGCACTTCTGGACAACATGGTCTAAGACTGCTAAAAAGTTGCTGTACAACAGCAACTGCAGCTGGATAGAGTAAGAATACATAAAAGCAACAGCCCTGCAGACACCAAGGTCAGTGATGAAGGAATGGAGGAGAGGCTCCAG